GGGAGCAATTAAATTACACGCGCTCCTTCTTTGCCGAGGGCAATTATTATAATTACCAGAAAGTGCAATCAAAAATACAAACGCAAACAAAAATATAACGTAGAAATAGGCAGAAAATGAAATATTCCTTCCTAGCAGCAAGTAATAATTCAAACAGCAGATCTATAAACAAGTATTACGCAAAACACTCAAGTGCAGCCGTCTGTCTCTTCTGTTGACTAATCGCTTGGCCCAAGACTAGACTAGACTAGACTAGACATAGTCTTGGAAAAATGGCTGCAGGAATATCATTTTTCATGGTATCTTCAAATTTTAAATATTAACTGATGAGACGTGACTTTCAACCCATAACTTTTCTGGGTTGCTCAAGGACTGATTTCATGTATTTTGTATATGAAATAAAATAAAATAAAACATTCAGTGTGGTACAATTTTTTTCAATACCTAAATTGTGTGTGTAGCACACTGTTGTCAGGATCTGTTACCATTTTAAGTTAGGCAGGTCATTTTCAGCTGTGAGTCCCAAAATGGGGGGAGCAGGTTAACAGGTTAATTTAACAGATAGTTAAAGATCACTAACACCAACGTGGTCTTGTTCCAAAATGACAATGATTCATCTGTTAAACCTTTTACGTGTGAGATCACAATGGTATGATCACTCTTGGTTAGTCCATGCAGTGTACGATCACACCAGTGGGATTTGAACATTTAAATCTGTGTTCGCGCTGCTGCTGACCTAGAGTGCTTTCACACTTGGTTCGCTTGCCTGGTCCGAACCTGAGTTAGATTGCTCCCCCCTCCCCCTGCTGGACTGTGTTCATATTATTTTATTTGGGTCCAAACCGCGGTTCGTTTGCGTCATCAAGCCAGCAGCTGTTTACCCCGTTGCTTAGTAACAACGGCGCAGGAGAAGGCGACAAATGCATAACATTGCTCTCTGCACTTTTATATATTCACGTTTTTGAACCGTTTGTTTTGTTTACAAAGCTTTGGTACATAATGGCACTTACGTCTGTCTTACGAATGTACTGCAAATGCTCTAAAGAACGCTGAAGGCGAACAGAAATGAGATATACAGCTCCCTGTTTGCAGCACGTCAGTCACGCTCATCAGGAAAGTGAGTGAAACACACACACACATTTTTATCAAATAATGTCATTAATAGCGGTTCACTTCTGCGATTTGGTACAATTGTGTTCACATCAGCAGCGAACCGTACCGGAGTTCACATGAACCGTACCCCAGACCACCCGTTTTAAGCGGACTCGGGTACGGTTCGCTGGTGCGCACTTGAGGTCGGAAGACCGTGTTCACATCATCCAAACGAACCGAACTCTGACGTCAATCGAACCCGGGTGTGCACCAAAAGTGCTAGTGTGAAAGCACCCCTAAAGAGAGCAGCTGTCATGTATATGAATGAAACAGTTTCACAGTCTTTTTAACCATACAGTCAAAAGTTATTTCTGTGTTACAAGCAGTCAAATATTCACAGAAGTACTAGGATTTACATTTATAGTTTGGATATAAACACTGATGTGTACAGTAGCGATCAAAATAGAGTCACCTTTTGAAAGTAATTTGACACTTTTAATAAAGATTGATCGATTACGTTGTTGCACCAGTAGGTGGCGGAAAGGGGATGTTAAAATGTATTTGTCTTCGAATCATTCGAACAAGAGATTTGTTCAAAAATGTTGATTCATCCAGTAATGAAACAAGTACATCTTGAGTGAGTCATTAAGTCATAAATTGCATGTGATTTTGTTTAGTTGACTAATGTTTTTTTTTTTTAGAATCGTGAGAACCACAACCTCCATTTAAAAAAAATCTCAATTTATCCAGAATCTGCATCTCTATTTTGCACACAAACAGCTCTTAAATGAGTCAAGTTTTTATGTAGCCTGCTGATTTTTGTTCATGGGATTCAGCTGCAACTAAATGTTCTGCAAAAAAAGACAGAATAAATATGTTTGATATCTAAATGTTTGACTTCATTTTTTTTTTTTTTTAAACCACATTGGAATAGAAACGGAATCGATAAGCAGAATAGGAATTGAAATTGATAAAATTCAAATACCGAACCCTATGCTGGAGTCAGTGGAGTTACACCTGCTATTTTTTAAGACAGCACTCTTAATAGCGCTTGCTAATGCTTCTAAGTGCATTAGAAGTGCAGTGTAAACTGCAACTGACTGTATTAATTCAGAGAACTGTGAACGCCAGCCACTGAGATCACTGCAATTATACGATTGGCTGAGTTGCCTCACATGATCCAATTTGGCCTTTACATCTTCTAGTGGTAAGTACTACAGAACCTCGCATCTCCCAATAATAAGAAAATCTTTGGCATCGGTGCTCCAATGCTATTCCTGTTTAGTTGTATGCCTAATTTGAACCACTTAATTGATTAGCTTCAAATACATTGGTCATACTTTTTTAATTCCACTAAAAAAAAAAAGAAAAAATCACCCACAGTACATCTTAGATGGCCTGAGGGTGAGTAAATTAACAGCAACTTTTAGTTTTTAAGAGGTATTTTTTATTATATATATATATATAGCTTTTGTGTCTTATTTGAAATTATTTACTCTATTGATCTATCTTTTTCTCTGCAGTTCAGGAGCAGTGTATGAGGTTTGGATTAAAAGTGTTCAAGTGAATGACTAATGTCTTACCTGACATGAACTTTTCCCTCTCTCATTTAACAATCCAGCACAAATCATATTGTTTGTGATGCCCCCTCCGTAAGCTTTATTACAGTCCTTGTGGCTCACAATTGGTATCATCACCTCCAGCAGGATGTTAGCAGACTGGCCTGTGACAGATCAGAGGACACATTTTATGACTTTTAAAATACATTGCTAGGTAAATTGTTGGTTTACAGTATTGTTTGCATTCAGTTAACTGGTAAGCAAATGTTCACTCACCTTCAGACTGTAGCCTTCCCCATCCAGTTACCCAGCTCTCTGTACCTGCAGCAAATTTACTACCAGCAGCAGCCAGACAGACTGGTCTAATATAATCAGAGAAAGTCACAGAAGAAGAGAGTTTGACCAGTGCTATGTCGTTGTGAAACTTAGGATTGTCATAGTTAGCATGGATGATGATTCGACTCGCTGTTCTAGATATCTCATAAGGGTTGGAGCCCCACTGCCTCCAACGCCCAAAGTACATCACAATGACAGATGCACTGTAGCTGTAAAAAGAGAAGGTTTGCTTCAATTCCTCTGTTATCTACAATCTACAATTGTATCTTAAACTTTATTTAAGATTCAACATACTCCTGGAAGCAGTGAGCAGCAGATAAAACCCAGTCTTTATTGATTAGACTCCCACCACAGAAATGAACTCTTAAAATCTTGTGGTGAATGCTGACTTGCCACGGCCAAGACCCTGCTGTTGCATTCTCCCCTCCAACAATTTTTTTAAGTGGGGCTTGACCACATACTGATGAGAGGAAAGATATGAGAATTCCTTGTTAAAATGTCTCACAGACATAGTAGAGTCATTCTGTGTGGAACAAGAGATTTCCGATCATTGGGCCTCATGCATGAAACACGAGCAGAACGATTTTTTGTGTAAATCGTTCGTAAAGTTTTCTGGTAGCTTCGGTAGGACAAATACTAGACCGACCAATCATCCTACTTGTACAACAACTGAACAACAATAGATAAGTTCATATTGCTGGTTACTGAATTTTTATATTCCGTAATATTCTTAAAATGAGATACTAGTAATATGTTACTGCCGTGGATATTTCAAATCATAGCAACCAAAGCGTCTCTCAAGCTCAGCTAGAACAACGCTGTGCCACCAAAGCGTTCTCCAGCACCACCAGCTGGCCGTTTTAAGAAGAGCGCCTGACAGTTTTTCAGCTGGCTAAAAACGCTTTTGTGGACACACGTTATTGAATATTTATTGTTAGGCATATGGCCTATTAGTGTTTTTAGCATTTATGCAATATACTGGAGCCAAACCTGAGAAAGTAGACCAGAATATTCCACTGCGTTCCTGGACACACAATTTGTGTAGCTGTAATTCATAGGCGGGGATTATGCTAATTGTGAATGAGCGTGCATGAGCGCCCTATTTACGAATGATTGGAATTTCAGAATTTACTCCTTTATTTACGAATGTTTCATGCATGAGGCCCATTAAGAGTATGATAACTTACCATCTAACTGACAGCGGGAACCTGTATGGGTAGACAATTACAAAGTAAGTAGACCGTAATTTAGACAAAGCTGATAAACTTGTTTGTGTAGCCTGTACTGAATAAAGTAACTAACCTTCTAAATCAAGCCAATTTTACACGCAGTGCATACTGTATGTAAATTAGCAGCATAACTACAGCAGTAGGCTTACATTGTGTTTCAACACTGCGGCTGCATTTACACTGCAGGTCTTGATGACCAATTCCGATTTTGAGACTATATCCGATTTTTTGGACGACATGCTTACATTTCTTTTAAAAGTGACCCATATCCGATGTGTGCATTTTACACTGCACTTGGTGAAACAACCCAAAAATAGCATATATGACATCACAAATCAATTTCAATAGTACACTGAGTTTAATTTATTGACATGGAATTCATGTCATCCATACATCAATTATATAGTACAAATTCTTCACGACAGTGATTATGTACGCAGCTCCGCTGAAAGCTTGCAAGTGGAATAATACTCAGGTGGTAGATATTTAAGCATGACGCAGTCGTATAGTTTTTTTTTTTTTTTTTTTTCTCATTAAAAATTTTTTTTTTTTTTTTACTCATTAAAACCAAATGCGTTCATTAGTGATTGTATATCGAGGGCAGGGACATGTTTGTGTGCATTTTATTTTGTGGTTTCAATGTAGTGAATGGGAAGAGTCTCCACAACCGGACTGAAGCGCTCTTCTGTGCACGAGCCGCCATCATTGACAACATTTCAAAAGCAACACATTTCAGCATCAGATCGCCTTTTATTTAACACTAACGAACGAAATTAATACTCTGCTACTAAACTTGAGATGTTTAATTTGTTACAGGTATGGCTGTGCAGCGAAATGTTTAAAACACTCACTTTTTAATGACGTATGTCGCATTAACAGGTGAATATCCGATCTGTCCGCTTACATGGCATGTGCAAATGCACGTATCCAGTTCATATCTGATTTATTTCCACATATGAATGAGGCCTGAAACCGATCCATGTGATTTTTCCTGCTTACACAGTCGTGGGCCATATCCGATCTGTGCCACATGGGAGGAAAAAAATCGGAATTGGTCACTTGAACCATGCAGTGTAAATGTGGCCTGAGAGTGTTTCTGCTACATAATTGAACCTCATCTCATATGGGTTGCTATGGTTATGGTTAAGATTCTGTCATGTACGGAAACACACTTGCACATATTTACTTGTCAGCTTTTGACAGATACTGAAGTTTCTGTGTATAAATTACTAAAATATTGTTTTAAATATTAAAAATGTGTGTATCATGCTTTTGCTTTCGAACCATGAATTTTTATTTCAATTTAAAATAATTAAATACTACTAATACAGATTTTATCATTTTAAATGATGTTGTTTAGAACTGTCTGTAGAAAAGGCTCACGACACAAGGACAAAATAGAGACTGTAGAGCCCCCTTGTGACTAGTCGTATTGCACTGATTTGCACATGGATAAAGACTTTGATTGCTGCTGTTGTTGTTGCTCATACAGTGTTCCCGCGGGTCCTTGAAAAGTCTTAAATTTAGTTGTATCAAATTTAAATCAATAAAAAGAAAATTGTTCAAGAAAGTCTTAATGATGATTTCAAGAGATCTTAAATTTCAGGATGGAAAGACCAGAATTGCGATATGGCTTAATGTGACGATTAAACTTCAAAAGGCTCTGATTCCAAGGTCCAGTGCTGTGCTGCTTTGTGTACTGCTGTTACCTGGGAAACAGTTATATTTTTGGTATTCTGAAAGCGCCTTCTACTGGCAGAGAATGAATGTGCATTTTCAATAAGGCTGTTGTATTGGAGAAGAGTATTCCTGCAATACCCGAGGCTGCCGTTTCAGGACCGCATTTCTAGGACCCTATAGTTTTTATTTTATTTTATTTATTAATTTTTTTTTTTTTTTGTAATGTATTAGCTCATACTATTTAATAACACTTGCTATTCAATAATGTATATTATTATTTTTTATTTTTTATTAATTTTTTTTGTATGCATGTATGTATTAGCTCATACTATTTAATAACACTTGCTACTTGCTA